TTAACTTTATTTTATTTTTTTAATTTTACACTAGCAGGGAGACTGCCTGTCAGCACAGGCAGTCCTCCTGCAGGCAGACACATGGACACCTATTGTGACCATGTGATCGCTGTGTTGAGCGATCACATGGCCACAGGGGTCCTAATTCAGTGTGGGGAGACTGTCTGGGCTGCAGGCAGTCTCCCCACAACCGGAGCAACGCTGATCGCCGCCGGGGGAACGACAGCGATCCGGTAAGTAACTCAGACCGTTAGGACGGTTCAGGACCGTCATCGGTCGGCAAGGCAAAAATGCCGATGACGGTCCTGAACCGTCCTCGGTCGTGAAGGGGTTAATGAATGTTATCACATTTTGATGTGATATGTGGAATATGACATTTATAATAATATGTGTATTGCATGTTTCGTGTGTGACATATAATGTTTCTCCATGTGATAAATGTATGTGCGTGTCATGCAGTTGATGTCTATATAGTGTGTGTATGTGTGTGTTTATGTATGTGCGTGTCATGCAATGTATATCTATATTGTGTGTGTGTGTGTATGTGCGTGTCAAGCAATGTATGTCTATATGGTGTGTGTATGTGTGTGTATGTGCGTGTCATGCAATGTATGTCTATATGGTGTGTGTGTGTGTCATGCAATGTATGTCTATATGGTGTGTGTGTGTGTGTGTCCGTATAATGCAATGTATGTCTATATGGTGTGTGTGTGTTTTGCACTGTAGGTCTATGTGACGTGTGCAGTACTAATACAGACAGACATTTTTGACTTGACACTATAATCACCAGAACAACTACAGCTTATTGTATAGCATACAGCTTATTATATTTGTTCTGGTGAGTGGAATCATTCTCTTCAGGCTTTTTGCTGTAAACACTTTGTTTTCGTTGCCCGTTTCTGTTCCCGAACAGCGTTCGGGAGATATAAAGTACCGTACAGGGGGAGCATTCGTATCGTGAAAGCAAGAGGTTCCCTTCTATGGTTTTCGCACAGGAACCTCACGAACAGAGACCGGCCAGGGCACCTATTCTCCTGGAACTATATTTGGCTACCACCTCGTATCTGGCCGGTCAAATCTTCCACACAATGCCGTTCCCGTTCTACCGAACCAATCAGAGTGATTCTTCGATATGTTGGTCACTCAGATCGGGGCTATCAGGGAATGTACTTTTTCTGGGGTTCCTATGTATGGTGACTTTTGGGGTACGTGATATTTTTGAGATTTTTTGTCCTTGAGAGATAATTAAATTGGAGGAGTTTACACAGGCAATTATCTCTCAGGTTCCTGGGATTGAACCCCTTGTATGGGAGATGGCATAAAAGCCGTGTATGTGTCAATTAAAATCAGTTCTACCCCCAGAGCTGAGTGTCGTCCAGTTGCTGGGGATGAGGTGGGAGATTCCTGGTTTATTTTACTGTGTTTGGCTGATCCATTGGATTGTGTTGCTTGTTCCTAAGTATATCTTGGAGTACCCAGTGGAGAAGAGTCCTTGCTAGGACGAGGTTCAGTTCGTCACATTTCTTCCCCCCAAGGAAAGACTAACCAGACACGTGATCTTCTGTTGGTCAGTACCTGAGTTGGTCGAGTAGCCCACCCATAAACAACCACTTGACCTGGTGGCTTCTGGTGCCCGGCTCTGTCCTGTCTGTCCCAGGTTGCTGCTTGGGGGTCTGTCACCCCCGGTCTCTCCTTTGCTCCCAGTCTTGGCGCAACCTGGGCTTAAGGGGCAGAGGCCAGTTGCGCTCCGCCCTGTAGCCAGCACTTCTGCTGGGGAGACCTGCGGGTATTCAGGCCATGGACAAAGGGGAAGGGAAGAGCTGCTCTCTGCCCGGATGCCATCTCCTCTGTTGGGGGGAGCGGTGGATAGTCCTGCCCTGTAACAAGGGGACAGGTGCGCTCTGCTCTGAAGCCAGCTCTTCTGCTGGAAGGGGGTTAGTGGAGACTGCCGTCCCCTCCACTACCTCCAGGACCCAGTTGGGAATCTGTTGTGGAGAGGATGGATTGCCTACCTCCTTCTCCTGGTATTCCTGTGGGGTTGGTTGGGGATCAGGTCTGGCCGTCCAGCATCCCTGTAGGTCAGGTGCAGAGACCTCTGTCCCATCTGCACCATTTATTTTAGGTGTTCTGTCTTGGGCTAACAGGCACTGCTACTGGGGAGTGGGACCGGTCATCTCCTCTCCCAGTATCTCTGGCTGCTGCTGGCTGCTGCTTTATTGAGGGGTACCTGCTGTACTTTTTTCTGGAGTCCAAAGTACATAAATCATATGAACGGAGCCTTTTGAAGTGTATTGGGCAAAATATAGTGCAGGGACCATAGTCCTGAGGCAGGAGGCTGGCAAGCAGGCCCCTCCAAGAGCCCATGACGAGGTTCAGTTCGTCACAGTATTCCTCCTGGTAAAATATTTTATAATAATAATATCTATTCACCCTAGTGTATAATTCACTAAAACACTACCTATTCACCCGAGTACCATTCACTAAAAAGCTACCTATTCATCCGAGTACCATTCACTAAAAAACTACCTGTTCACACGAGTACCATTCACTAAAACACTACCTGT